CCCGGCTGGGGTGTCCCAGAAGAGCCGCGAATTGAAATGCTTCATGGAACCACCACTCTGGCCTTCAAGGTGCGGATCGAGCCGCCCTGCTGGGCCGAGCCCCCAGCGCCCGCGCCCTTCCGAGCCTCCCTGCCGGACAAGAGCCGGCCACCAAGCCCAAATGAAGGCTCGGGCTTCTGTCGTCCCTACCCCAGAAGTTTAGCTGTTTCGTTGTCCGGGGAAACCTCGCTCCTGACTCTGGCCGGAGAAGGGGACGCTGGGGCCGAGCAGATTGCGTTGGTTCCTAGGCGACCTCAGGTTGCTCCTATTGTAGGAGCTCCCGCTGGGCAAGGGGAGGCCACCGACACTGAACCGTGGCAGAGGAAGGCTAGGCGAGGGTAACCTAATCTTTGTGGCATTAGGGAGAAACTGTGAAGTCGAGGGAGTACTGTACCAGGATCCAAACAATTGAAGTCCCTGCTCCAGCTCTACGATAACTAGCTCTAGATTTGGGGCAGATCATTCTATCTCATTGAACCCGTTTCCTCATCTATGAGTGTGATATGGGTTTACCCATGTCAAGGGATTTCTGTGAAGTGTATTGAAAAGTATAAAAGAACAGAGAGAGAGAGGTGCTGGATTTGCATTGGTGCAAAAAGAAATACCAGGGAGATTTTTGTGTGTGTGGTCTGATGTGGCCTGTTTTATGCTTTCCACTATCTTAACAGTTTCAACATGGAGTCATTGTTGCCGCTGACTCCCGGGCTACAGCGGGTGCCTACATTGCCTCCCAGACGGTGAAGAAGGTGATAGAGATCAACCCCTACCTTTTGGGAACCATGGCTGGGGGTGCAGCGGATTGCAGCTTCTGGGAACGTCTGTTGGCTCGGCAGTGTCGAATCTATGAGCTTCGAAATAAGGAACGCATCTCCGTAGCCGCTGCTTCCAAGCTGCTTGCCAACATGGTGTATCAGTACAAAGGCATGGGGCTGTCCATGGGCACCATGATCTGTGGCTGGGATAAGAGAGGCCCTGGTGAGTTGAGTTGCAATCACGTGATCCTTGAGCTGACACTAGGGAGAGGGGAATTAAATGGGTAGATAAATGAAAGGACTTTGAGGCAGTGCTGAGAATGTGATGATTAGGTTCTTAGCCCTTCTTTCTTTTTGTCCAAGGCAGGCAATATAGTGTTGGAAACGGCCTGCAGTTAGACCTGCTGTGTCATTGACTGTAGGCAGGATGCTTATTTTCTCTGCCTATTTCTTCATCTGTCACATTGGTTAAGTGAGGTAATAAGTGTAAAGCAACTGGTACAATATCTGGCACATATTTTTCCTTCTGTCTTTAATTTTTTTTTATATATTTTTTAGTTTTAGGTGAACACAATATCTATTTTATTTTTATGTGGTGCTGAGCCTAGCATGTGTGAGGAGCTGGGTACAATCCTCAGCACCACATAAAAAATAAATACATGAAATAAAGTTATTGTCTCCATCTACAGTTAAAAAAAAAACTCTAGTCGACATTATCTAACAAAATGTAATTTAGATTTTTCTCATGGATATATTTAAAAAGAAAAAAAGTGAAATCAGTTTTAACAATTCATTTGACCCAAAGTACTTAAAATAAGCCAAGCTTGGTGATACAGGCCTGTAATCCCAGTGGCTCAGGACACTAAGGGCAGGAGGATTGCGAGTTCAAAGCCAACCTCAGCAAAAGTGAGGTGAGACTCTGTCTCTAAATAAAATACAAAATAGGTTTGGGGAATGTGGCTTAGTGGTCCACTGCCCCCGAGTTCAATCCCTGGCACCAAAAAAAGGGCAAAAATACATAAAATATATTTCAATATGTGACAGTAGTACCATTTCAAGTGCTCAGTGTCCACATTTGGTTAGCAGCTACAGTATTGGATAGCAGAGCCACCCAAAGGTTAGCCATTTTCTTCCCTTTTTCCTTTAGAGTCTTTGGCTTGGAAGGAACCTTTCAGGCCTATCTCCTTTCTTTCTTTGCTGGATCTTGTAATCTCCCTCTAGTCAATTGAGGTCCTGTTATGTTGTCATTGAAAAGAAATCCCTTACCCTTTCCAGTATATAAGAACCTTGCCAGGAAGTTCAACCTTGTGTTTGATGTCATTTATCCTTCAGCTTGTTTTGTTTTTTGTTTTTGTTTTATTTTGCAGTACTGGGAACCAAACTTAAGAGTCTAGTGCATGCTAGGCAGATACCCTACCACTGACCTACATTCCTAGTCCAGCTAATTTTGATTTGTTCCTTACTAAAGTTTCAATACAGCTTGTCACTTTCTTTGTAATTAACCCTAGTGTAAACTTGAAAATATTCTTTCCTTCTTATTTTACTTTATGCCTAGTAATCCTATAGAACAACCATAGGATACCTGCTAGTATTTCACTTGCTTTGGAGCAAGGATTAAAAGGGGTATAAAGAATTATCAGTTTATGCTGGCACGGTGGCACACGCTTGTAATCCCAGCAGCTCAGGAGGCAGAGGTAGGAGGATCGCAAGTTCAAAGCCAGCCTCAGCGATTTAGCAAGGCACTAAGCAACTCAGTGAGACCCTGTCTCTAATAAAATACAAAATAGGGCTAGGGATCTAGGAATGTGGCTTAGTGGTCAAGTGCCCCTGAGTTAAATCCCCAGTACCCTCCCGTCACCCCCCCCCCCAAAAAAAAGGAATATCAATTTATTACCAAAAGGAGAATGAATGAGGAGATTAAAAAGTGGATGTGAGGACTGGGGTTGTGGCTCAGTAGTAGAATGCTTGCCTAGCACATGTGAGGCACTGGGTTCAAAACCTCACCACCACATAAAAATGAAATAAAGATATTGTGACCACCTACAACTAAAAAATAAATATTTTTTTTAAAAAGTGGATGTGAGGGGCTGGGGCTGTTGCTCAGTGGTAGCGCACTTGCCTGGCATGTGTGAGGCACTGGGTTCAATCCTCAGCACCGCATAAAATGAATAAATAAAATATAGGTATTGTAAGCAGATGTGAAAAAGAACGCCATTTGTTACTCTGGGAATGAAGATACCTTTCTCTTTGAAATGTGGAAAAGAACAGTTCCATACATCTTGTGCGTTCCAGGGAACCATTTTGAATGTGATTTTTTTTTTTTACTTTGATCCTCTAGCTATTAGGTTTGTTCCAGGTGGCGGAAACAATGTAAGACAGTGCAGAGCCTGGCTAGCATGGAAATGGCAGGAAATTAAAGCTTACTCAAAATTGTACTGCTTAAAGAAGGCTTTCTGACAACCTATCCCCTTCAGTGTGAGCCTTCTTTGCTTCAAGAGACTGACAATCACCAATTATCTAAACTGAAAGTGGATGAGATGCATACTTGTATTTTTTTTCTGGTACTTGCAGTTGAACTCAAGTCCTTCATATACGTTAGGCAAGTGCTCTACTACTGAGCTACATCCCCAGGCCAAGATGAATGCCTTTCCAAATGATCTCTATTCATCAGTCTTTAGCCAAATGCTGGGAAGTTTGTAAGAAAATATTACTTCTGATGGAAGGATTTGGAGAAGACTTCATGAATAGGTGGCAGTTGCTCTTGATTTGAAAATGAGAAAAGGGGAACATAACAAATGAAGGGAAGGAGGAAAAAAGAATGAGGTTTGGGGGAAGTAACTGGGAGTCCAGTTTAAAGTGTATAAAAGGGAATAGTGACCCATAAAGCTGGAAAGGTAAATTAGAATCAATGACAAACCATCTCGAGGCAAGATGATGGAAATGGGATTGAGGATAGGCTAGAGAAATGCTTGGGGTAGATATCAAAATCATCTGAACTGTGTTTTTAGCCTGGCTTACATCAAAATCACCTGAAGAATTTTTCTTTTAATATTTATTTTTTAGCTTTATATGGACACAATATCTTTATTTTACATTTATGTGGTACTGAGTATTGAACCCAGTGCCTGGTGCATGCTAGGTGAGCACTCTACCACTGAGCCACAACCCCAGCCCTCACCTGAAGAAATTAAAACATAAGCTCCATGGTTATTCTCCTCCCCACACCAATGTTAAAAGATTCCTGGGGTCGGTCCTAGGCATTCTTTTAAAAAATCTTTGTTGGATGATTCTGATGCATGAGAAGAGTTGAGAACCCCTGAGATAGGGAAAAGATTAGTGATAACATTGGCAGAATTTGAGAAGACAGTAGAAAGTGTGGTTTGTGGGGCACAAGTGAGAGGATTTGGGTAGGTAATAGAGAATCAATGAATGTGTTTTAGGACAAGAAGTTTGAATCTGAACTTGTTGACAAAGACATCTTTGGGCTGGGGTTGTAACTCCGTAGTTGAGTGCTTGCCTCACATTTGTGAGGCACTGAGTTCAATCCTTCAACACCACATACAAAAATAAATAAATGAAACAAAGATATTAAGTCCATCTACAACTAAAAAAAAATCTTAAAAAAAAAGACATCCAGTTGGAAGATTCAGGGAACAATTGAGATTTGATTTTAAAAAAAAAGTTTTTCCCAGTGTTGGAAATTGAACCCAGGCTTCAGCCCATACTAACCACTGAGCTACAACCCTAGCCCTGATACAAATTTGATAAAACTCTGTCTAAATTTTCATTGCACAAGAAATCAGCTTTTATTTTATTTATTTTTTTGATACTGAGGATTGAACTGAGGGGCACTTAACCACTAAGGCACATCCCCAGCCCCCCCCCCCGCCCTTTTTTTTTTTTGGTACCAGGGATTGAACTCAAGGGCACTTGACTGCTGAGCCAAATCCTCAGTCCTGTTTTGTATTTTATTTAGAGACAGGGTCTCCCTAAGTTGCTTAGTGCCTTGCTTTTGCTGAGGCTGGCTTTGAACTCGAGATCCTCTGTCTCAGTCTCCTGAGCTGCTGGGATTACAAGTGTGCACTACAGGCCCAGCTCCAAGCCCTTTTTTATATTTTATTTAGAGACAGGGTCTCACTGAGTTGCTTAGTGCCTCACTAGGTTGCTGAGGCTGACTTTGTAATCACCATCCTCCTGCCTCAGCCTCCCAAGCTGCTGGGATTACAGGCGTGTGCCGCGACACCTGGGTTAACTTTTTCATAAAGGGCCAAATAGTAAATAGTTTAGGTTTGCAGGCTATAAGGTATTAATATGAACTATCGTCAGATAGATACAGAATGATGTTTTGGTCTGAGACAACCACATATCCAATAGTGGTCCCATGAGATTACATCACCTAGTGATATAGTCATTTTAGTTTGTTTACACTAGTGATGTTCATACTAAGATGAAATACCCCTTACCAATGAATTTTTCAGAACATATCCCTATTTTTTGTGTATGTTTTTTAAAAATTTTTACTTGTAGATGGACACAATATCTTTATTTTTTAATATGGTGCCAAGGATTGAACCCAGTGGCTCACACACGTACTAAGCAATGCCTTACCACTGAGCCTTATATCCCTGTTTTTTAAGCAATAGGCATCTAGTTTACTTTGTTGATATAGTATAGCAGCCATAGACTTATATAAATAAATTTCTGTGGCTGTGTTCCAATAAAACCTTTTATACAAATATAGGCAATTGGGACTGGGGGTGTAGTTCAGAGGCAGAGCACTTGCCTAGCATGTGCAAGGCCCTGGGTCTAATCCCCAACCCTGCAAAACAAAACAAAACAACAAAATAAAAAAACACGGGCACTTGGCCTAACCAATACCTGTTCTATACCAGCAATAGAAATAAAACAAGCCATACTATTTTTATGATGCCAGGGATGGAACCTTAATATGTTAGGCTCTATCACTGAGCTACACCTCTAACCCCATACATTAATTTTAGATTATAATTAAAATGTGTAGTTATATAATATAAAAATATAATTTACAATTAAATGTAAATAAAACATAGCCACATTTTTTTAAAAATTTTTTGTAGTTATTGATGGACACACAATATCTTTGTTTATTAATATAATTTACTTTGATTTTGAGGTATGGGGGATTGAACTCAGGGCACTCGACCATGGAGTGATATCCCCAGCCCTATTTTTTTTTTTTTTTTAAGAAAGAGAAAATTTTTGTTTATTAATATAATTTACTTTGATTTTGAGGTATGGGGGATTGAACTCAGGGCACTCGACCATGGAGTGATATCCCCAGCCCTATTTTTTT